GAATATATTAAATATTAATTTTTTGCTTATAAGTAAAAATAGGTTCCTAAATTATTTGTGAAGATATAATTCAAATGATTTTAATTTTTTTTTTTTTTTTAAGGTAAACAGACACTTAATGCTATAATTTTTATATTTGAACCATATATTACAGTCTTATATATATTAATATTACTACTAACTATAAGTTTAACCATTACCAATTCACCTTAATTACTCAAATACCAACTTGTTCCACATGGATGGGTTCATAGCTGGATTTTTGCAAAGGACAATTCTTATCAAACATATATTAATCTTTTGTAAATCATCTTATTAATTACATTGTTTTCAATTTATGCAGCTGCAGTGGATTTCCACACATATGTGTACTGTCTAATCAATGCTCCAAAAACTGCAATCCTTAGTTGGCACATACTATCAAATCTGGAGGCTTAGTTGCTGACCAAGTGGGGCATGACTCCTAAATCTCTCAGTAAATACTTTAAGGAAATTCGATTGGTTTAAGCTGCCAAATCTAAAGGTATAAATGCCAAGCAGGGTGCAACTCCTACACAATAATAGTGCTTACTAACACAGGCATGTTAATGATTTATATTTCAAGATCTTTTTGTTTTGAGCTTAAAATAAAATATAAACAAAAATTCATGTTGAAATTTCAAAATAGTAGTAATAGTAATATAATTTTTAAATATAAACTTGATATTATAAACTTTATATTCTGAAAAAGTCTAGAAAAATGTATTTTGGCCTCCCTAATTCAACACCAAAGTTTACTAGCTGAAATGCATAAAAGTTTAAATGCTTTAAAAGCAGAAAGCAATATAAGTTTTTACTAATATCTTATGTTGTAATATATGAACACATAAAGATGCAAATTTACACTTTTATATCTAAGCAATGAGGTTATGAATACTTGAATACCTAATATACGTGTCTTTGAACCAGGAGAAGACGTGTCAGTTAGTCATTGTGATGGCCAATTATATTCAACTTTTCTCAACGGTTGGATTGCGATTTGGTAAGCAGGGTCGGTCTTTAGTATGCTTGGTCCGAGTGATAAAGATTCCACATGATCTTAATTAAAAAAGGTTGAACAGGTTGTAAACGAGTTATTCGGTCACGTATTTATTAGATTATTATATAAAAGGAATATGTGATAACGTCCTCTTCGATTTTTCATACCTAAATGAAATCACTATGTTTAGTAGACCGGGAAAAATTATATTTTCCCGGAAACATGAATCCTCAAGCCTTTTCTTTCGGAGACGTGGATAACGACAAGGTATACTTATTGATTGAATGCTAATTCGAATGGTCGACGTAGTAATTCAGGAATTGGGTTCATTAGGACAACGAATTCGTTATAGGAAATTCAAAAGGCAAGTTGGACGTCTTTAAGGGCATACCGAAGGATAGAAAACCCATCATTACAGAAGTTGGATTAGGCACGGTAGGTGTCAGAAACAACAATTTCACTTTTGAACTTTTGAGTTACTCCAGTCGTTTTAAAACGTCTTTTCTCTATTTCCTATCATTTGGGATAGATTACGTGCGTTGCAGTTGGTGACATAAAAAATTCTGGCAAGGTAACGTGCCTCATCAATTTTCATTCTTATCAGGTCTCGTGTGATCTCGCGTGATAGTTATTAATGACTATTAAACTTCAGAATTCCATAGTCTGCGTCAATGCCGAAGGAGGCTGCTATGTCTTTGATGTTACACAGACATCCGCGCTTGACACGATAGCAAAAATAAACGTCCCAATCAATTGCAATCGTATTATCATTGCAGATGTCGGTATGAATCAAACACATCATCATGAAGTTTTGTTTTTTTTCGATTAACCGCATTTCGATTTCAAATTTCAAGATGGCGACGGAAGAAATGAGATTATTCTTGCGCTAAGCGATCGTACACTAAATGTATACGATTTTGTAATAACCTCAACAGATGGGAGCGATCCGTGCCCTATACTTCAAGAAAAATCGCAGTGGCAATTTGACGGTCAGGTAAAGCAGCAAGGTGTTTATTGATTTTTTTACTGAGAAAGACGCTCAAGTTGCGTAGGTCACTTCTCTGTCCACAGCCACGGACCCTGCGACGAGCGCGCCATTGCTACTCGTAGGTCAACCCGGAGGTCACTTCATAATTATTGAAAAAAATCAGAAAAAAATATTCCCAACGAAATCTTCCAACGATACCACACATATTGAACTTTCAACTGATGTGTCGACCGAGATAGTGAGTGGAACCCAGTGGACAAATGGTTAGTCAATGTTTATTTCTTTAGACACGTGTCATATGACTGAAGATAACCCCGTCGTGTTAGGGAAAAGATCAGACGTGGTCGCGCATCTTACGGTAGATGGTGAGTGGCAATGTCGTATTCGTGTTTTGAATTGCTTTTGGTTTTCTAATTAATTGATTTCTCTAGGTACGTTTGCTTTTTACGACCTTCAAACGTCAAGCTCGAGAAAATTTGAACTAGAAGTTACACATAGGCTCTTTGGGATGGTGTCGATGAATCTTTTTCCTGAAGACAAACGAGACCCCACAAACCAAGATGACGTGTTTATCGTCAGTTCGTGGAATGGGGCAACCTATGTGATTGATTATAACTTCAATGTGGTCAAATTTGAATTCGAAAAACGAGTATGCGCATTTGCTGCTGGTAATTTATCAAAGAACGTGATTTTTCGTGACAATTGAAGTAATCACGAGCGCTTCTTCAAAAATAGGTCAATATGCGTTAACTCCAGGCCAAAACGTACCTTGTTTCATGTATGTCGATTTTGACGACTATATAACAGTGTATCATAATCTACATATTATAAACACTAAACCTGTGATAAATTTCATGGAAGTAATGCGTGGCCAGATTGATCAGGTAAAAATTTTTTTTTAAAAAAAAATCTTTTAGTGATTATTGAACAAATGTTGAACCTTGCTCTACCACACACTTCAAAGTTCGACGCTCTACTGAAGGAAAACATAAAAGATTATGAAAAAGGTTATGTAACTTTCGAGCATTTTTTTTGAATTCGGATCACTTATATAAACCCAGTTCATATTTCGAATATATACAGAAAAAACTGCGTTATCGGTTGGACCCACACCGCACATTACCAATTTTTTTCATCAATGTTTATACAAATTGGACGATTATGAAACAATGAGACAGAAACTTGAAAAGGAAATCAATGAGGTTTGTTTTAATTCGATATAATAATTTCGAGTTTCCCAGGGAAAACAGCATTGGTCATTGGCATTAATTTTTGATACATTTTCTAGTTGAAATATGGGAAAGTTGAGAAGACCGAGGAATGCGAACCAGCCAAAAAGGTGAGCGAACTTGATACGAGAAATAACGCTAACGAGCTGGATAGAGGAGGTAGTAATAACGAATTGAGTATGGGAGGTCCCGATATTGGGATGGTTGGTGAGGATAATCATAACGAATTGAATGAGATAGATAATGATGACGAACCATTTGAGCGAGATAATGATAATGAGCTGGATAAGAGAAATGATGATGATGAACTGAATAAGAGAAATGATGATGATGACGAACTAGATAAGAGAAATGATGATAATGAACTGGATACGAGAGATGATGCTGACAAACTGAGCGCCGGCGATAATGCTAAAAGACTGGATATGGGAGACATTGGAAATCAACAGGATACAGAGGACAACCCTAAAGAACCGGAGTCGGAGGTGGGTAAAAAACTGAATGCGGAAGATGGTGACAAAGAATTGAACACGGAAAATGATGTTAACGAACTGAACTCAGAGGACGATGACAAAAAATTGAACACGGAAAATGATGTTAACGAACTGTACCCAGAAGATGATGGCAAAAATTTGAACACGGAAAATGATGTTAACAAACTGTACCCAGAGGACGATGACAAAAAATTGACCACGGAAAATGATGTTAACGAACTGTACCCAGAGGACGATGACAAAAAATTGAACACGGAAAATGATGTTAACGAACTGTACCCAGAGGACGATGACAAAAAATTGAACACGGAAAATGATGTTAACGAACTGTACCCAGAGGACGATGACAAAAAATTGAACACGGAAAATGATGTTAACGAACTGTACCCAGAGGACGATGACAAAAAATTGAACACGGAAAATGATGTTAACGAACTGTACCCAGAGGACGATGACAAAAAATTGAACACGGAAAATGATGTTAACGAACTGTACCCAGAGGACGATGACAAAAAATTGAACACGGAAAATGATGTTAACGAAC